TCAGCAAACAGAAATCTTAAACATCCGCACCACGTCGAAGTAAATACAAATAGGGTGAAGCGGCCACGAAGTGAGAATGGTTAGCGTTCTCTAACCAAACGACTGGCCTATGGAGATGACCGACAAGGATGACGAAGACGACTTTGGAGATGCACTATAAATACCTTCCTCTCGAATCTACAAATCAACTCGCAGACCTGGGAGAGCTTCGCTCAGAATCGGCCAGCCTGGAGAACAGTAGTAAAAACCGGAAAAATTACTTGTGAGCCCAACCAGACAGTCGCTGCCAAAGTCAAATGAGCCGCTCGCAAGTCTCGAGTGTCTCGAGCCAGCAACCTCAGCATCCAACCCCTTCCATCGCGTTCTCAATTTCGACAGACATTTCGTGTGCAAATCGGCTCGTCTGGCATATTCTAACCTAATTTGCTACTACCGTTGCACCTCCTCCAGTGTTAGATGTCGTGCCTACTACTACTACTATTACTACTACCACCATCACCACGACAACCTCAGCGACGGTGACGACGACGTCCGCCACAGCCACCAGTAATTCGGACGTAATACTAACCCGTCTCCATTACGATCGCATCTTTGTGGCACGCATTGTACCGGTCGGTCACTTGCGAATTGGTCGAACCGAGACTGGTAAACCACCGTCATGAACACCAACATACCCTCGCTTCACCTGTCCACGAAAGATCAGTTACCGCATGGACATACATGCATATCCAAGACATTGAAATTTACCACAACGTCAACACGAAAAACGCACCTCCTAAACCCAAAAACTCATCCATCAGCAGCACTACCAATTCCACGAGCACCACAGCCACCACCACCACCACCACCACCATCAGCCTCGTCAACCGAAGCAACTAGGGTATCGTTATTAGTTCCGCTGGCATAATCAAATCCTGTTCTTAGTCACCACAAATTCACATCACACGTCGGCCTGGTCAGTCACTTGCGAATTTTTTTCACTGTGGTGGGAGGCGGTGGTAAACGCAGTCATTGCCAGGGGCAGGGTGAGGACGGAAGGGCGCAGAGAATTGCAGCATTAGTCGACCTTCAACCACTGTACTTACGGTACCTGAACGTGGTTCTTCTGTGCGCGCAAGAGTGGTTTTCGTAATCTGATAGCGGCCGCTTCTGCCGTTGGTAACAATCACTGGCCCAGTAGCTTAGGATAGCCCGGTGGGACCTTAAAAAGCACACAAAAAGCTCCGCTGGCGTCCGCACGACATTCGGAATCAACAGTATGCGTGGAAATGGTGCTGTTTATGCTCCCGGTCTCACCTTTTACCAGCCATCCCGGGAGGTGTTCTTGTATTCACTTGGGCTTTGAAACTGTCGCGCCTGTCTGAACGTTGTGAATCAGGAAGCTGTCAGATGACGGAGTAAATCGGTCCTCTTCAGGACTGACGGTAATGGCCAGCGGGTCCGCATGGCTGTGGCTTTTGCACCACTCCAATTTAGATAGGATGCCTGGCACCCATAGATTCTGTGAAAACCTGATCCATCGTTTGGTGAACTAGCCGCGACTGGCATTCGTAGACGGAGTGTTCTGCCTTTCGACCTCTGTGCCCGCTTCCGCTTCCGGTCTTTCTGACAATGTTTTAACACCCTGCTCAAGTGGATGGGATGGAGAATGTGTTGGAGAAATTGCGCAAGTCTTCTATCATCAAAAAATAATTTACGCGCATGTCGCCGTCCTGCGCTCACTTTGCTGAACTGTTATTCTGGAGTTTATCAGCTAAAAAATTACAAAAAATGCCTTTGAGAGTAAGTAGATTATCAGGTGACACAGTGACTACACCTTTTCGCTGTGGATTTGCGCTAGTTGTGCATTTTAGAGGCGGTCTTCGTGACAGGCGTGGACTTCTATCTTAACTCAGTCAGGCACTTCGTCCACTCCAAACTACGGTCGTGGACTTTTGCCGTCGAAGACAGTTTAATAATGGAGGAAGTAGTGCGGTAGGCGCTGCGCGAGCCTGCCTCAGTATAAACTCATTAACGCATACGTCACGCCTGCTGCGCCCACTCTGTTGGACGCAGTGGTAGACGTAGTCGCTGGCGACAGTCGAGCCGCCGTGCTACCTTGACCCAGGGTTGGTGTATGCAACTGAGGCGCAGACGCCTGTGGCACCCCACGCACGTGTGTCCGAGCTGAAGTTAGTTGTGTGGCTTCAGGTCAGCGTGTCCTGGAGAAGTCGAAGTGGCTTTCCAGCAGGAGGCTCTTGGTGAAATCGGGTGACCTTGTGCAGTTTGCGGTTCAGAGAAAACATAGTGGTCAGTCTGATCTTCCTTAAGGCAAAGGGGGTCGTCACAATCCTGTTGCCTTGCACACATGCTAAAAATGCTATCGGAACACAAGGATGACGTCAAATTATCCTATACTTTTTCTATTAATTTATTCATTTTATTCATATAATCAGGCAGACAAATCTCCTCAGCCGAAACCTTTGTAAGATAATTTGTTCTGTGGAGCATCCCTATTTTACGTTAGTCGATTTAGTTTGCATTATTTGGCGATCGAACTAGTCTTTAGGTCAAAGTACTATCCTGATTTCAGAAAATTCTTATTTAAAACATTTCAGTTCCATGTATTGCCGGTGACCATTACCTTATTACTACTGACGTCTCCGAATACATGCCTCTTAGGAAAGGAATTTCATTGGAAACTGACCTATCTCCTCTTATAAACTTGTCGAAACTTCTGGTAAATATTAAATTGCTGAAAAAGCAAACAAAGAACCTGTAAATTTTGTCCGAAAATTCGTTGTTATTGAGATTAGTTTATGACTGTTTTATGAAATTTACATTTGACACAAATGGCAGAATGAGTGTGACGCATTAACGAGCCTTAAAAAACGTGTATCTCTGGTTCTTTAGCGTCTGCGAGAAAAAATGACGAAATAATGGCGATGACGTGACTGGTCGAGGATGTTTTTATAAGCCCTACAATAAACACCGTCTGGAGCCAGCAGCGGTACATGTGTGCGTTTGTGTGTGTGTGTGTGTGTTTGTGTGGCTGGCCTACAAATTGCTGGGGAATCGTCGTCTGCAGGCGCACCGTGGTCGCAGACGCAAAACTCACGGTCGAAACAACCATACTCATTCTCCTCATCCCTCCTCTTCTTCCTCTGTCTATTCTTCGGCTTATTCTTCTCCATCGTCACCTTCTTTTCCAACTCCTTCCCGTGGCCCCACTCATTGTCATCAGACTGGCAGGGTGAGTCCGCTCACTCTGGCAGCCGGGAATGTTCGTTCCCTTCCAGACAATCCGAGGAGTAACCTACCGGAACGGAGGACGGCGCCAGTGGCACGAGAACTGGCCCGCTACAAGGTGGACATTGCCGCACTCAGCGAGACCCGATTCTCCGAACAAGGCCAAATGAAGGAGGTGGGTGCCGACTACACCTTCTTCTGGAGTGGTCGACCCAGGGCAGATCGACGTGACGCGGGTGTCATCTTCGCCATCCGGAGCGACATCGTGAGACGACTGCCCTGTTTGCTGCAGGACATCAACGATCGCCTGATGAGCCTCCGTATGCCTTTCCGGGGTGGGGGCAAATTCACCATCATCATCATGAGCGCCTACGCTCCGCCGATGAGCAGCCCCGACGCCGCCGCAAGAGAAAAATCTCACGAGGACCTACACGGTCTCCTGGCGACTGTGTCGAAGACAGATAAGTTGATCGCCTTTGGTGACTTCAGCGCCCGCGTCGTCACAGACCATGCTGCCTGGAGAGGAGTGCTGGTCACCACGGTCATGATGTCTTCAACTGCAATGGCCTTCTTCTCCTACGAACCTGCGGGAAACATCGGCTCATTCTGATCAACACCTACTTCCGCTTCCCGATGAAGATCCGAGAGATGGCCACCTGGAGGCATCCCCGGTCGCGTCAGTGGCATCTGTTGGACTATGTCCTCGTCCGGGGGCGAGATCAGCGGGACGTGCTGAGGACAAAGGCGATCGCGGGCGCTGAAGGGTGAACTGATCATCGTCTCGTCATCTCCAAGATGCGGATTCGCCAAGAGCCTCGAGGTAAGCGATCCCCAGCTAAGTTGAATACTGCCTCGTTGTCTTTGCCTGCTCAGCAGCGAGTTAGCTCAACGGCTAGACAACCTTCCAGTCGCCGCCGTCGCCGACGCCATGGAAGAGGACGTCTTCGTTGAGATCAATGGTGTCAGCTGCGGGACACAGTCCAGTCGACGGCCCTGGCTGTCCTCGGTCACGCATGTCGCCAACATCAGGACTGGTTTGATGACAACAATGGCGCCGCCACCAGCAACCTGCTCGCCGAGAAGAACCGCCTGCACAAAATCCACGTCACCCGCCCCACCGACGACAACAAGGCAACCTTCTACTGTAGTCGTCGCGTTGTGCAAGAGCGGCTGCGGGAGACGCAGGACGCTTGGACGGCTCGCAAGGCCGGAGAGATCCAATGCTACGCGGATCGCAACGAATGAAGCAAGTTGTTCTCCGCGATCAAGGCTGTCTACGGTGCGCCAGCCAAAGGTACTGTTTCTCTTCTCAGCGCCGACGGAAGTACCCTACTCAGTGCGGCTTCAGTCATCATCGAAGGACCACGGACATGATCTTTGCCGATCGTCAACTGAAGGAAAAGTATCAAGAGACACAGACTCGCTTGTAATCTTCATTCGTAAATCTGACGAAAGCCTTCGACACGGTGAATCGTGGCGGACTGTAGAAAATTCGGCTGTCCCAAACGATTCACTCAGATCGGGCATTGGCCCCATGATGGCATGATGACGTGACTCACGAAAAATGGACTTGTATCGGAGGCATTGACAGTAACCAACTGGGTGAAACAGGTCTGTGTCCCCGTGCCCATCCTCTTCCGTCTCACGTTCTCTTTCATGCAAATGAACGCCTGCCGTGACTAACGTCCCGGCATCCGCGTCGCCTACAGGACGGAAGGCATACTTCTCAATCATCGGCGGATGCATTTCAAGTCGCGCGTATCTACAACTACCGTTCACGAAATTATCTTCACCGACGACTGCCCCCTGAATGTAACTACTGATGGCGACATACAAAGGAGCATGAACCTCTTCGCCGATAACTGAGACAGCTTCGGTCTGGTCATCACCACGGAGAAGATGGTGCTTATGTATTCACCGCCACCCAACGCTGCCTACGATACACCCCAAATCAACGTGAACGGCGCCCGACTGCAAGCCGTCGGCAAATTCACCGACCTGTGCAACACCCACTATCGGAGCACCCAGATCGACAATGAAGTGGCCGCCAGACTTCCAAGGCTAGTCAAACCTCCGGTTGTCTTCAAACCACAGTTTGTAATTTTCACGGTCTCCGTTTGAGCATCAAACTGTAGACGCGCAATGCAGTCATCTTGGCGACGCTGCTGCATTGAGAGGAGTCGTGGACGGTTACAAGAAGCAGGCGCAAAGACTCAATCATGTCCACCTTACCTGTCTTCGACGGATACTGAAGCTGGGATGGCAGGCCCGAATCCCCTACACGTACGCACTGGAGCGGACGGGAAGCCTCCGCATCTACGCCATGCTGAGACAGCCACAACTGCAGTGGAGCGACCAGCTCGTGTGGATGGACGACGAGCGGCTACTCAAAGAAATCTTCTATGGAGATGTCGTGATGGGTTTCCGTCGACAAGGTGGTCAATTGAGGTGCTACAAGGATACCCTGAAGCGTCGGCAGATCGGCCGGCCAACTGGGAAGACCTCATCCTGGATCGACCGAACTGGCGGAGGGCAGTGAAGACAACCACGGCGGTCTACTAAGCCAACCGCATCACCGCCGGAAAAGCCAAACGAGAGGCACGCAAATCTCAGCTGCGACCGCCTCGCAATGCCGACGCTCAACCGCATCCGACCTGCTTGCGATGCCAGCGGACCTTACGGGCACCAATCTGTCTCATTGGACATCTTCCAACCAACTGCAACATCCGGACGACACCACCTGATGTCTTACTGTCCACCTTTGCCTCACCCTCAACGCCGACAACTAACACTGACCGCACTCTTGAACCCCTATCGCCTCAAAATCCGCTGCGATGACTCCCGCACCCGCAGCTGCTGCCCTCAATCTTAATACACCGGTAATCCTTATCCTCGCCACCGTCATCACCAGCGATGTGGATTCGGTCTATTCCTATCCTCATTGTGACCGCACCTCCACTGTAAATTCATGTCTCACATCGGTCTGGTCGGTCATTTGCAAATCCATCGCACATGGACTGTCGAACCAGTACCTGGGACATCAACATACACTCGCCGCATCCGCCTTAACTTTTCTCATTGCATCCGCACATTCAGCCAGCTCATGAGTCGATTAGGCCACATCTGCAGTCACAAAATCCTGCGGTAGATAACCGCCGGAAAAACCATACCACACTTTACTCTGTCGAAATGATATTGTCAATAACACTGAGATTCCCTAAACAGAAGTCAGGGAAGAGTGGATGGGTGGGAGGACCTTTACTATTAAGAAAGTGAGTACATAAGGCACTGCAAGCAGTCGCTGCGAGCGATCTCTCCAGGCAAGCTGTGTTTGTGTACGCCGTTGAGGTGCTTCGATCCTGGCGCTTGTGTGAACCTTTCGCTCTGCACCACTGTCCGCCAGCCAATCAGAGAAGGGGCAGCGTTGACTGGCCTCAACCACTCGTGAGGCCAGTGACATGCCTCGCGCTTCCCAACAGCTAATCGACAGGGAGTGCGAGGCGGACAATAAGGCTGCATGACAAAGAGGCGGAGAGCAAGGAGGCGCGGATTGCTACACGCCCACCAGCACCCGCACCTTTCAACATCATTGCCCATCACAAGCACCCAATTGCCACCTCCCACGCAAGTGGGAAGTGTGTTTCTTGGCTCCTTCACTATGCACCTGCATGTGTGATTCGAGTCTGAGTCTACCACTGTACGTCAAGCACCCATGGTTGGAAGGCTGCCGAGTTACGCCCCAACCTAGTCCAAGCAGTCTGCCCCGTTTTGAGAGTTTGTGTGGAGTGACGGACTGGTGGGCTGAGAGCCAGGCCGTCACGGCCGCTTCTTAAAGCGACTTCTGTCACTCTCACGCATGTGAGCTTTATGCCGTCCAACCCCGTTTCGTGAAATCCTGTTGCTTGTGGTTGGGAGGCCAGGTCGTGCATATGGTGCGCGCAGACAAGATAGCCCGATATGTCAGCTACCGCGCCCATTACGTGCATCTGTTAACTGACCGCCTCCGATAGTGACTGGGACATGGGAATGGGGATGGAGAGTCAGGTCGATGAATCAGCTCATTTTTCTCAGTATAAACAATCTGACGCGTTGAAACTATCACGGTGCTCTGAAAGTTGTGGCTTGAATTGCTGCCAATTGACGGGATAACTTGGACCTCGCAGTCGGCCCAGTATTGTGTACTTGTGTTGAGCGGCTGGTTGGTGGCCTGAGAGTCAGTCTGCAATGGCTCGTTTTTAATTTGACCTTTAGGACACCCCACTCAGTGGGATACGAGCCAGGCGTGGTGGCACGTCAAGTGCGGCCCCGGCCGCGCCCGCCTTTAGCGATCTGTCCCACCTGTGGTCTTCTTGACTATGTCTTGACACAGTGTGCAGGTGGGGAAGGAGAGGAGAGTGTGGCAGATGCCTTGCAAGTCCGCTACCACCATACACAAATTAACGCGCAAGTCACCGTGCCTAACCTTACCTCGCTTTTGAGCACGCAGGGGACATCGTTGAGCACGCCGGTCGAACTCCTTTCGAGCGTGTGTGTGTGTGTGCCTCCCAAACGGACGCGTTGGACCAACATGGGGACCCTATCAGACTCTCCCAGGCGTTTTCGGATTTGAGCACCATAACAATTGCCAACGTTTCGGGGTGTGGTGGCAGATCCGGTTACCGGCTGACATCGCGTACACTGGAATCGCTGCGGCACCATATATTTGTTGGTCAAAATCCTGGTCAACTGTTGTTTGAACCAGGAGGTGCGAAGTGATGCGACAAGGCGCAGGCTTGGCCGAGTCATTCACTGGCGCATTTCCCCACTCCGGTTTTCTGGACTCTGTCTTGACACCGGGTCCAGATTGGGGAGGTGATTATGCGTTAGGGGCTTTGCAAGTTTACCATCGCTATCAACTAATTCAAGCGCAATTTACTGGGCCTACACCCAGGCTGGCTATTGAGCGCACAGTGGACATCGTGCGGCACGACGGTCAAACTCTCAGTGTGTGGGTTTGTGCCCAGAACCGACCGACCTGAAGGAGGACAGTGAAAACGGGCGTGGCATTCTACAACGCTAACCGCGTCACCGCCGCCAAAGCTAAACATGAAACTGGGAAATCTCGACTGTTCCTACCTCAAAATCCCAACACTCGACCGCCTCCGACCTGCCATGATGTTAGCATACGTTCTCCGGTCCCAATGCGCCAACAACTCGACAACGTCTACCCATTTTTCCCCCTTTCACCCCGCGCTAACTGCCATAGCCGTCGCGGCCGTTCACCTGCTGTTGCCCCACCGCCATCAACCACCATCACTTTCGCCCTGCTCCAACCGATTGGCAGGCCGCAGCGACCAGCACCATCACCACCACCACGACTTCACGCGCACAGCCCATTGATGAGACGACGTCATACATGCAATTAACTTCAAACTTCACTAACATCTCCACCTCCAGCGATGTGGAGCTGGTCTATTACGGTCCTTATTACGATCTCACATTCACCTCACACATCGGCCTAGTCAGATACTTATTAATCTGTCGCACAGAGACCGGGGAACCAGTGCCTGGAGCACCCACGTCCGCTCACCGCATCCGTCTCAACTCCCCTCATTGCACGCGCACATTCAGCCAGTCCATGGGCGTACTAGGCCACATTTGCAGTCACAAAGACCCTCGGTAGACAACTGCCGGCTACACCACACCATCCTACTTTCCCTCACCATTACCCGCACTTCCCAACACCATTGCCCATCACAAGCACCCAACTACCAACTTCCACGCAAGTGCGATATGTGCTTGTCGGCTACTTCTCCATTCGAATCCTCTGCTGAATGTGTGGTCGGAGTCTGAGTCTATCACGATGCGCCACGCACCGTTGCTTGAAAGTTCGTCACTTGACGCTCCAGCTCGGTGCATGCAGTCTGCCCAGTTGTGAATGTCCGTTTGCAGTGACGGACTGGCGAGCTGACAGCGAGGCTGACACGGCTTATTCCTAAGGCGAGCTCTGGCCCTCTCGCGCATGTGAAGAGTGCGTGTGTGCTTTATGAGTAGTGCATCCCTGTCGACGACTGAGTGATTACCCAGCCTTTGAAGTGTAATTGCCCAGGCAAATGCAGGACCACGTATCACCCCACCATGGTCTTCGCAGCCTGGTGGGCACTGACAATTCTCTAGCACCTGGTTCCCTGCCGGGAGGTGCACTCGCGTTCCCGCTGGGTATACAAGTCGTGAACAGGGGTTCCAAGTCATTCTCGCCTTCCTGACCCGATACGGTGCTGTTGTGGTTCTTCGTCAGAGTCCTGGTCAAGTTTTTGTTGTGGACAAGGGTGCGTGGTTGTACGCCTAGATAAGGGGTCCGTCCGTGCCAGTCTCCTGCGCCTTCTCCCCTTTCCGATCTTCTTGGCTATGTCTTGACACCCGGCGCAGGCGGGGGAAGAGTAGAAAGGGCGGTAGATGCTGCGCAAGTTCACACGCACTATAAACAAATTCACACACAAGGCGCGTACCTTTTTCACCTTGGTTTGGAGCCCACCGTAGAAATCGTTCGGCACGACGGCCGAACTGCCGTCGAGTGTGTGTGTGTGTGTGTGTGTGTGCCCTCCAAACGGGCCACGTGTTAGATGCGCTGGACCAACACGGGGGCCACATCTGACTCTGGCAGGCGTTATCTGTGTGCAATAACAAATGCCAACATTCCCGGGGTGCGCTGGCGGACCCTGTTGTCGGCATTCGTCGCACAACTGGACCACTGCCACCACCCCATTGTTTTGTGGTCAAAATCCTGGTCATTTGTGGGTGGACCAGGGGGTACGGAGTGGGGCGCCAAGGCGAGGATCCGTCCGAGCCATCCACCTGCGGCCTCCCCCGTCTCCGGTCTTCTTGACTTGGTCTTGACACCGGGCTCAGGCGGGGGAGGAGGAGAGAGTGTAGGTAGATGCTACGCAAGTCTACTGGCACTATAAACCCCTGCGTAAGTCACCGTCCCTGCTCCCACAATGCAGTCTGTGGGGCAGACGGTGGACATCATCGAAATCGATGGTCGAACTGTCGTGTGTGCATGTGTTTGTGTGTGGACATGCTTGCCCCCCAAACGGGCCACGTGGCGGATTAGAATGGACCAACACGGGGGCCACATTGGTCTCTGGTAGGCGTTATCGGCTTTGTGCACCGTAACACATGCCAACATTTT